CGTTATTTTTGGTAGAAATCACAAGCCATACCGAAAACCTAAGAAAAAAATATAAACAGTAAGAAAATAAATAAAAATCTAATTACATCAAAAATATAACTCTAATTTTTAGATATTTGATTGTGATGTTCTCTCTTGGAAATCATTATGTCTCTATCATAACGCCTTAGATCACTTGTAATTTATATTAACAAATAACTGCGATGTAGTAAGTATAATATTAATAATAAAGTAATAATATATTATAGAAACTTTATGACAGTAATAATAATAATAATAATAATAATAATAATAATTATTATTATTATTATTATTATTATTATTACGTGATTTTTTGGTAAAGTTCCAGCCATTTAATATGACACAATGACTAAAACGTCACATTAAGAACAGTCTATGAATGGACGTAGAAAGCAAATTTAGCGTCTGCGAATGTTTTGTGAAATTATATATTCTCACGTCGGCGCAGTTTCATCCAATTGGAATTTTATGGAAATAAGAGTATTTGATAGAAATTTTGTGAAACACATATATTCAATGCGTAGACTATTTCATGCATGGTTTGCATCCAGACCATCAAATGTTCGAGAAGGCCAATGTCCGTGCGAACGTTCGAGAGATGATAATTGGTTTGCGTCAGGTATTAACATTATGAACCCGTTTTCTCTGCCTCTCATTCCACGTCTTCACAGGTTCCGCTTTCATTGTACATTCCAGGTTTCGCTCTCTATCTCTTCCACTGCCTTGGGAATGAGACAAAGACCGATATACTTCTAATATGTTACTTGCATGATTCAGTGGTGATCCGTGTTTTGGTACCACACTAACTCTCAACGTTCAGACATACGTCATGACAACAGCTGTGTCGTAATCAATGACCCAAAGAATATGAAAATTCAGTCGGTATGCGCAATATGAGAAAAGGCGGAATAACACAATAAAATATTCGCATTTTTCAGTCAAAATCGAAACTATTTCATTGTTTTTGGATTTTCCCTTCGTTCCTGCGTATCTGAAAAAAACAATCACCTCTCACTTCGCTGTACAATTTTATTTCAATTTCTGCGAGCATTGAAAATTATTAATTTCGATATTACAGTTTCAGCTTCTTTATATGAAAATAGCGTTAAAGTGAAGGTCAATTCACGCATCTTGAATGCAGTTGAAACAATATTAATAGGTTCCTTTCTACGGGTAACCTCAGAAGCTTACTGAATTATGTCATTTATGTGACAAATATACAATTCAAAACCTTGGAAGGCAAAAATACCGACCAAAGAGACAAATAAATTGCAAGAAAAGCCTCTAAAATTGACGATTTCATGTAGAACTACCTTTGTGTTTGCACCAAAGGTAGATAACCCTGCTTTTCATTTGATTGAGAAGGTAAAAATGAAACTAAAACGCATATAATTACAGTGAAATGACTACAGTTAACAAAAAATTTGTACCAATGATAAAACTTTATTAAATACTAATAAGAAAATTTGAAAGATGAAATACAAAAATATTATTCATGGAATTACTTGGTACGATTGGGTCAGGATAAGGACAAGTATATTTTAGGTTTAGTAACCATTTTTATGAATACTGTACATTGTGTGAGTATTTAGAAGTTACAGGGTGGAAATATTATTAAGAAAGAACTCAACACGCATTTTTAGATGCAGAAAAGTCTAATATTTTAAGGATGAAGAAAAGACTCGACGTCGCGTAACAAAGAAGCTCTCCATTAATCCGAGCTTTCGTTTTGTCTTAGTCTGCTTTTTACTTTTATCTCGTGTGACACGCTCTTTAAGCTCCACCAACCAAACATAAACAAAGTCTTACTTTAGAAAACTTTTCTCTCTTCACCTTTGACATTTTTATCTACAATTACCGCATCGGTGTTCACAGACGGTGTATTTTAACCTTTTGTTCTTGTCACATTTTTTGTACTGTTCTTGTATTTTTCTCACTCTCTTGTGCTTTCAAACCGAAGCGTTCATCCATCCATGCAGTCCTTATCACTGCCTTCTCGTACGTCGCCCTGAAGGTCCTGATCATATTGTCCCAGCTCTCGCCATTTTCTTCTTTTTGCTTGGACCGCAGCTTGCGTTTCGCTCGTTTTTTCAAGCAACTGTCGCACGGTTTCTCGCTTCCAGTAGGGCTTCTTGTGAGACAGTGAGAGATGTGTAAAAAGATTCATAGCTCACGTAAAGAGGTTTGTCTCGAGATTCGCCGGGAAACCTCACCAGGGTGCCTCTAAGAAATATTGCTTCGGGGAATAGCCTTTCTAAGGTTTCTTAAGCAGTAAAAAGAGTAAATGGAGTGGTTGCCACTTGCAAAAGAACGGAATGGCTAACAGAAAGGAGAACTCATTGTTATGTAAATGTGCCAAATTAATATTCAATACTTCTGACTCAATTATTTTTCAGTAATAAACACGGCTTAGGTCGAATATTAATAAATTTAATTAATTTTTAATTTTAATGAAAATGACTTTTCAGTAATAGAATGTACACGAGCAGGTGATATTAAATCTGATAATTTAATTTTACATTACTCTTCATATTTCAATTATTTTTACTTGATACGCTTTTGTAAATCAAAGATTATCAACCTTATTTCATTTCAAGGTTGTGTGTTTTGCATGACCAACCACTCCAGGGACATTGGATAGAAACCTAACTTTTTACGAGGGTAAAGAGTCATTCTTAATATTGAATATTGGTAATGCATCTACTAATACAATTAAATCTGTAAACACATATTAAATTTTCTGGCGTTCTTGATTGCAAACATGTTTGGAGAAGTTTGATGAGATCCTGTTTTCTTTAGTGGCCATTGATTCTGACTGTATGGCCCGTGTAGGTCAGTATCAATAAATACTACTACAGTATTAATTGAACTAAAATGTTTCACACTTAAGCGGCCCTATTAGATTTATTAGATTAGAACCACATTACAGTGATCAAAGTGTTCCCTGGAACCACATTAGTATATCAGGGATTTACAAACAGTGGTAGGCAAATCAGGTACTAGGTCAACGGTTATATGAGAAAACACCTACTTTATTGAAGTAACAAGTAGCTAAAGTGAATAAGTGATAATGAACTGATGAAACGATCTTGCTGTAATAAATCTATTTTATACAAAAGAAATTCTACTGATTCCAGCAGTGTCAATTCAAAAACGATACTTGCTATAGTTTGACAATGCAAGCTTATCATGATAAAAACCTTTATGAGCTTCTCGAATTGCCTATGCTAGTCTTTAGAGACTTGAGCTCCCCCATTTGTATTTTATAAGGAAATAAAAACTCTTAGTTACTAGTATTTTAGAATAGTTCGCTAAAACCTCTGTAAATCTTAAACCTACATTTAAATTAAAATGATTTAACTCGCTGATGTAAAGTCATGGAACCTCTAGATCATTCGCAAATAAAACCGCCCACCAAGACTGGCCACTTGATTGGGTGTCGGACGTTCGTCCGTGATCGCCCGCAGCGCAGTTGCAATTGGCGGGCCGTCGCTTAACAGTGCAGCACTACCGGCGGCGGCTCAATGGCAATTTGCTTAACGGGCGCCCACGCTCAAAGCTCCGACGGCCAGGCGCCTTATTTGCGGCACAATGGCCATTGGAGCGGGATGAACGGGTCCGTGGGCGAGGGAACGTTAGAGCGTGGACGGCGTGGAGCGCACGGCCAACGGCTACGACCTACTTCAAGCGCGGCCATGCCGTTTATCTGCTTCAGCAATGAGAACGACGTAATGGTGAAGCAGAGGTAACTGATGGCTATGGAGTACACCATTGCGTGTTCCTGGGGGGATAAATGAGGTGGGTTGGATGAAATTTATTATTTCACAATTTTTCTTCTGAAATGTAGTTAAAATTGTATTTCTGTTGGGTTCCTTTCGTGAAGGACATTTTACGAGGATTCTGTGAAACATATTGTTCAGATTGATCGATGAACATTTCTAAATTCTTTAATTTATTCATACATTAACTATTGCATTATATATTTTGTTTCTTCAATGTGCTTTTATCTCAAATATCCACTTGAGAAAAAAACAGTGTTCAAAACCGAGCACACAAAAACTAAGCGTATTCGGGCATCGATTTGTTCATTGCAAACTAATTCACCACGAAAAAAAGTTGCTGTTTTTCTATTAAAACAGTTGTCGTAAGATGTCTATCACATGTATGTATTTCCTGTTGAGAAACCTGTCAATGGATGAACGAAATACTTTGAAATACAATGAAATACTATGAAAACTGTAGGGCTTGATTACATTTTCGATAGTGATTTTTTGTTAAATCAACTGCTTATTACCAAGTTATGAGAATTAGGTGAAAATGAATATAAATTCGAACATACAGTAATAAATTAATGTCACTTAAAAGCAATTTCAATTAGAAAAACTTCACATAGAGGCAAAGAAATACGGTTTGGAGGGATACTGTAAGTAAGGATGTATTGAAATACGGTGAATTAATTTTATTTTAGACAGATATTGTAACCGGACACCGTAGGTTTACCCGTTAATAGAGTGAATATAATTTTATACAACATATTGTTAAATGTAGTGGAAAGTTTTGGAATAAGAAAGTATGTCATTGCAACCTACAATGAATTAGTTATGCAAACTCTCTTGCTTCAAGAAAAAATCTCAAATATTCACATGGCAAGGAACATTCTTCAGTAACGATCGTACAAAAACTTTCATATAAGAATACCAGATAGTAAATACATTGAGAGAATAAATCGTAATCTGCCTATAAATATCCGAAGTGGAAGCCGATAAAATCGTATATTTTTATCGCACGTTTCGACAACGACTTAAGAACGCGCTGCCTGCGTGCTTGTATCTCGATCGCGTTACACATCTGGCAGCGAACAGCCGCGCGTGCGGAGATCGCAATCGCCTGGGAGACTTCGCAGGCGCGAAGGGGCGGGGGACACGGAGAGGGAACGACGGGGCAGGAGGCGGGCCCCCTTGGCGCTCACCGTGTCGCAGATGCCCGACGCCGTGTTGCACAGCGACAGCACCGTGAGGTTCTGGCGTCGGTTGGCCCACACCACGGCCACCTGCCGCTGCGGCGCCCAGCTCACCGCCAGCACGTAGTGCTCCCTGCGCCAGGAAACACCGACTTCAGCAATATCGCTAAAGGGAAATTAATGGAGAGAGAGAGGAATGAAAAAGAAAAGAGGAGGGAGAAAGGAAAAAGGAGGAGGAAACGAGAAAGAGAGAGAGAGAAGGAGAGGGATATCAAGAGAATGAAAAAGAAGAAGGAAGTGAGATGGTCAAGTTTATATATAAAGAGTTGTGACAGTGGCAGAGGAATTCTTCAAAAACGTAGAAGTGGATGTCATACATCATTTATTTCTTGAGACCATAAACTAATATTTAGGTACCGTAGAGTTTACCCGAAACAAAATATTTTTCTGCTCTTGAGATTAACTTAACTACTGACCAATACTCAATAATGAAAAAAACTACACGTATTCCACCGCGTATGAAAATTGTTAACTTTGGTATTCATATATTCAATTTCAAGAAACAGTCTCGATTTATATGATTTCTACAATCCTAAAACTTTATATACTGCAACTTCATCTGAAAGAAGTAAATTCTGAAGAAACAATCTCTAAATTCGGAGCGTTGCTTAGGAATTTAGGAAAAGTCGCACAATGAAGGGGATGGAAATATCTTAGAAAAACTGAGAAAGTGAGGAAGTTAGGCGATGCAAATTTAGATTATGTACGAGAGCGTGGTCGAGGTGTCGTGAAGAGGATCAGCGAACAAGCGAAACGCGGGGCTGGAGGTGGAGCAAACGAGAGCGTGTGAGGGCGCGAATGAGTCACGGCTGCCTGTGCAACGCGAGAGCTGCGGGCTGAGAACGAACTTGGCTTGGCGTCGCGCAGTGGCCTGGAGGGCACGCGGTCGCGGGCAGGAGCTGCGCGAGGCGGGGGGGGGGGGGGCGGCGGGCAGGAGGGCGTGCGAAGATGAGAATGTGTGCGATAATGGGAACCAGAGGCGCGCGGATGGCCATGACGAGGGGGGCGGGGGAGCGAGTGATTGAGGGGAAGAGTGGGAAGAGGAGGGGGAGCAGTTTTGCGTTGGTGTGGGCGAGGGGCGGGGTGGAGTGTGGGGGCGGGGTGCCTGAGGGGGATGAGGACGAGGAACCGTAGCCGGAAGTCGGCGCGGCTGTGACGGGTGCCAGAGTCCTTGCTTGCGCGCCGGCGAGCCGCCTGAGCGTAGTGCAGATTGCGCGCCAGGCTCGCTCTGCCTCGCAAAGCCTTCTCGGGAGGGGGGGGGAGGCTAAGTACTCGTACTGTGGAGGAAGTTGGTAAGCCAAATTTGGCAAAGGAGTTGGTATTTACATCTCAAATTTATTCGTTGTTTTACGGTTCGCTGCACATAGTAAGAAGTAATGTCTTTATAAAATGAAGGCGAAAGTTCCATCATATGAATTTTTTATTGGCGCAATCGTATTATGAGTACGTTTTCTTCACTCGTACCACATATCTGTGAAATCAATATGTGTGTCCATTTAATTTCAATCGATTAAATAAACTAAATAATGGCACATACGCGTGCATAGCCTAAAACAAAAGAGTGGGGACAGTTCATTTCTGTGCCCCCTTTTCATTTAGATATGATTTACGTATGAAGTAAATAAATACAACAAACAGAGAAAGTAATTATAAGTTTAATGAATTGGTTGTATGTTGAACCATTTACAAAATTGCCTGATGGGTTGGAGAGACTCTTCCTCAAATGTAAAACAATTCCCCAAATTGTCAGGATAAAAAAGGGGAAAATTAGGAATATAACATATTTACGGAAATAACATGTTTTGTTGCGTACAGTCACGCTCTCCTGTACCTCTCAGAGCGCACACCTATTATTATATGTAGGAGCGGATTTCAATGAAATGCTATTTTTTCACTTTAGAGCCATGCCTTTTAGTATAAACATTACTTTTATGTTATTACAAAAGCAAATGACTTATTTTTATATGGATTTTTTGCATTTTTCGTTGATTTCCACTAATCATTTATTTTTTCTTCTCTTTCCGTCATTTGTAATGTATTTTCGTTGATTTCATCGAATTTATTTTTATTTTAACTTTTATTTTAACTTTATTTTAACTTGCTACAAATAATATTTACTAGATGCAACAAATGGTTTCTACAGAATTCCTGAGTGGCCTATACGATTTCTTGGCTCAGTAATAGTAATGTCAGCTGTTGTAAGTATGCAATCTAAGGTTCCTGTGATACCTAACAGCGCCATTGGCATTCCGGGGTAACTAAAGATAGAGATTTCCTAGTTTAGAACAGTCCAAACCAAAAGTTAGCAAGCTGAGGACACTGCGAAAGGAAAAAGACTCGATTACATCAGTAACATATCCAACAGCTTGAGTCGTTCATCAGAAATGGTTTGGATCAATTCGTTCACGTCATTTTTCTTTGCTTTTAGAGCATTTTGAAAACATTTTAAGAACATTCTATTGATCATTTTTGGCGATGTTTTAGGTCATAAAATTCTGCCTTTTAATAACATGTAACTGAATAGCTTCGTCATTCACTTACGAAGCTACTGATTTTAAAAAGCATCCCTCATTTTAATAGCGGGTTTTGTCTCATGAATTGATACTACCAATTAGAGACATTTGTTGTTCTTTCTGAGTTCTGGTATTAAATGTAGCTGGCTGTTGATGAATGTAAATATTCACTTCCAGAGAAACAAGAATGAAAGAAAGAGGAGAATTTCGTGTATTCGTGATTGCAAGACTGGCATTATAAACAATGTTATCCAAAATATTGTATTAAATATGACAGCAAAAGAGACAATTGAACATGTGGACGTACGTAGAAACGAAACAAGCGATGCATGAAGCGTTGTTTTGTCCCAGTTTATTTGAGTGGTCCTGGTGACTTTCAAGTAAGTCAGTTACGTCAGGAAAATTTGCACAAAGCCATTTTTATGAGGAATTGGTTTTCTGAAACAGTGTGGGGGAGGACAATAGAGCAAGCGGTGAATGGGAAAAAATGAAAGAGAAAATAAACAAATGCAAAACGGAATTAGAGCGGGCTGAGTTGAGAGGGCGAGGAGGCAGTTGAGCGTTGCGCGGCTCAGGATAAGTCGAAGACACGGAAGAAGAGTTCTCAGAGGTCTCCGCAGCGGTGAACGATACGGCGGCTCTGGAGACATCAAGGAGGCAGTCGAGGGAGCGAAGATCTTTTTTTTTTTGCTGGTGGGTCCTCTCCCGCCCGCCCAGGGGCGCCTTCCGCCGCATCCACCGCACTCGCGCAGAGCCTTGCGGCCGGGGCTCGAGCATCATCGCAGACCTTCGCCGGGTGGATGGGAAGGGGTGAGCGGGTTGAGGGGGGAGGGGCTGGGGAGGGCGGGAGGGGACGGAGAGCGTAGAGAGTGGGGTGGGGAGGGGCGGGGAGGGTGAGAGCGGAATGGGCGGGGATGGTCGGACGGGGCGGTGCCGGGCAAGACGGGGCGGGACGGGGAGGGGGGGCGACGCGGGGCGAGGGAGTGAGCGCGCCATCCAAAGCGAGAGGCCCACTTGCCTTGCGCTCACGCATATCCTTCAAAACGAGGGCCGCGCCTGGGAGTGTTGAAGGGCGAGCACCGACGATGTGGAAAAAACGAAGAAAGAGCAGCGAAAGAGCTGGGATCGGATTAAAGAAGCTGCTTGGAAGCAAGTGAGAAAAGATGGAGGAATAAACGCAGAAGTTAAAGATGATGGATAAAGGTTTGAGCTTAAGAAGTATGTGAAATAATATAATATAGGGTATTAAAACGTGACATTTCGATCTAGATTTAGTCTACAGAGTAACCTCTATTTTATTCATCAATTTGAAAAATAATCAAACAATTTGTTACTATGGTATGCATGATGGAACAACGAAACAACTTGCATTTAATGTAAACAGAATTGGAATTAAAATATTTTTTATAGGTGTTGGTGACAACGTTGGAACATTAAAAAATACAGAATATGCGATAGTTTTGTGGCATATATGCAAATATCACTTGCTATTTCATTACACATTTTACTCATGGTAGGACTTATATGAATATTACAAGTACACACAGTAGCGTTTTGCATTTCACATTGAAATGAGGAGAAAATATGATAAAAAAGAAGAAACACAACACAGAAAAAATAGAAGCAAAGCAAACTACTGAGGAAGTTTAAGTATCGCAAAATATAATTATAAGCAGAATTTAGCATAATCAAATGATGACATCCACATCGAAGAAAAACACAATTTGTCCTACTTGCTTAACAAAAGAAGGAGTACATGGTGCTCAAACCCCTAAGGACGAACCGGCAGGTTGCTACGCACAGGAAGCTGTGGACCAGCTGGAGAAACGACATTTTGTTAACTGTCTATAAGTTATGTTTATGTTAACAAAATATCTCTTTTTTAAGAGTGTTGAATTTATAATTTATTTTAGATTTTAAAGGAATTATAAATTAAACTGTCTTAAAAAAGGGGATCTTTTGGTTTCATAAATACAGCTGAAGAAACCTATGGACCAGCCGGAGGTGAAGCTGTGGACCAGCTGCAGACATGACTTTTTGTTAACTGTCTATAGGTTATGTTCATGAAAACTAAATGTCTCTTTTTAAGACAGTTGAATTTATAATTTCTTATGTATTATAAATTAAACTGTCTTTTAAACAGGGGATCTTTTGTTTTCATAAATACAACTGGAGAAAACCGTGGACCAGCCGGAGGTGAAGCTGTGGACCAGCTGGGGAGGGCCAGGCAGCGGGGGCGCGATTCGGGGGCGCGGTCGGCGCGAGCGGGAGGAGCGAGTGACAACCGCCATCTTCCGAGCAGCTGCTCGCCGAACCGCGAAAGACGCCGCGCCGCACCGCGCCGCCTCCATTGTTCGGCGCTGCCCTCCCGACGTTGATTAATTGAGTGTCGCCGACTCTCACCGTCGTGATTCCTGCACGCGTGTGTCGCTCAATGTCACATGTCTTTGCTGCTTTATTGATAAATCTAATTTAGTAGAACGAGATAACTGGTATAGCGAGAATAACGTTGGATGTAAATACTCGTATGCTTGAGAAAACTCCATGGCTGCTGTATTATAAAGACGTATACACGACCTATTGATACATATTTATTCATGAAAATCTTTGAGAAACTCATTATACTGCTGATACAATTGATTCCAAATATTCATCAGCTTTCATTAGAATTCAAAACAAATCTTTTCATTATTAGAGCTAACAATTTCATAATATAAAAAATATATGCAATTCAACTGAACACGTTGTATGAAATGTAAGAAGATTATAAATATCAAAATATTTCATGAATAATAAATGGTTAAACAATAAGATCTACTTTTAAAACTAATTTAAAATAAAGCAATGAAAACGCTTATCATCTCACGTCAGACATTGTTTCCCAACGCACACGCTACTACAAGCGCCCATGAATGTCTACAACGAACTGAACAATGAATAAAGAAACTGAAACAGTCGTTGTAGCATTACTCTTTCGTCTCCCAACGCCAAAGTAACATACTGTGCGCGATGGTAGTACGTTCGATAAACTTCCAATACACAACCAATATAATACAAATCGTGTTAATATGCATTTTCACATATTACAGGACAAAACACGAAAAATTTGTTCAGAACGTTTGTTCCTGAACAGCAACAGCAACGCCCGTCAATCTCGTGCGGCGCGTGCGACGTCGCTGTAATGGGGCCGGCTTTGACCGCTGGAGTGCGCCGCTGCGGACAGGGGCCCACCAGAGCCTGCAGGTATGAGCGATCGCGTTCCTTTCCATTTTATATCCAGTTGTTTTGCCATTTTATATCCAGTTGTCAGGAAAATTTGCATTAAGCAGTAGTGAGTATTGGGTACCTTCAGCCTATACGAAACTAATATTAGTATACTCGATACTCTCCAAGATGCCCACAATTATTAATCTATTAAATCCATGAAAACAGCCGAATGGGGTATTAGGTAAGGTCTGATTAAACGGTGGTGGCCTGAAGGTTGCCCTAGACTAATATCTAGGATAGCGAATCAAGGACCGGCTGAAGCTGCACGGCGCGGCGGGGCAACGCGGCGGGCCAGCGTGGCGGGGCGACGAGTCGAGGCGTGGCGAGGTGTGGGGAGGCGAGCCTTGACGGCACGGCTCACCTCCGCGGCAAGGCGCCGCACCGTGGCGGGGGAGGGCAAAGCAGTGGTGGCGAGGCGGGAGTCGGGGGTGTGCGGGCCGAGATAGAAGTTGGCATGGGAGTTGGTGTCGCGAGGAAGTGAGTGGCGGGGTTGGGTGGTGG